GAAAATCTATACAATAAAATGTTGGTAGTCTATTTTTGTCAAATCTGATTACATAACTGTATTTTAACAACATTTAATTACCAATAAAAAATCTTTTTTATGTATGGTCTTTAACATTGATATGAATGATCTTTAGAAATTAATATTTGAATGGAGATAGTTGTGAAGAAGTGTTATGAAATACTTTAAATATGAAAAAAATCGTAATTTTTGTCGGTTTTAGATTCAATTATATATCATTTATTATAAAGATGTATGAATGGAAGACAATTATGAGATAAGTACTGAGTAATCATGGTTAATGTCATAATAAACCATGACTTTTAACAAATTGAAATGACAAAATAGAGCCAAATTTTCGCACAAGCTTATAAATAGAATTTGACATTGTATAAGACATTACAAGAAAGATGGGAAATGTCTGTACATACATGTATTCATGTTATTCCCTACTAACAATAACATCAAACATTTCTTTTTAATTTTTGGTTTGGGTTTTTTACATTTTGCAAGCTACGTTTGTGTTGTGAAAGGATCATGAAGTTGCCTCTCTAGTGGACAAATTGATCATGGATAATAAAACAGTTAAGAAGTAGAATGGCTTAGAAAAATATTTTGGATTTGTACTTATCATAAAACTGGTGAAAGTTTTGCTGTAATCTTGGGTCTTGGACCAAATGTAATTGGATATTCTTAGATAATATGATTTAATGTTTCCGCCAAGTATTTTTGTCTTGGTGTCTGCAATAGTCGTGATTTCGTAATCTTTTTCAAATATGGCCAACCTTTATGGTGTTTAAGATTCCACATCTGTCTTTTGATTAACTAACAAATATCTTTAATATGCAACCATTGGTGTACAAGATAAAAAAATACAGTTTTTAACAGCATTTTTAGATTATAGCTTACTATACATTATGGATATTTCTCATCGTTGAAGGCCATACAGTGACCTATAACAGCTTTGATTCCACTTCATTTGTTCTACTGTGGATAGTTGTCTCATTTGCAATCTTACCACATCTCCTTAGTAGTGTTATACTGATTGTAAAATGTTTTATAGTTTAACAGGCAGTGCAGGAGTTAAAGTGTTATTTCTGGTTCTCCAAACTGAATTCAATTGAAAACACTGTATAAAGTAACATACAATCTTTAATTTGACAATCATAACTATGGGAAAATTGAAGAGGCACCTTTATCAACACACTACTTGAGAGAAATTTTAATGTTTACATTCACAGTAATCCAAGGTTAAGATTGTGTGGTAATCAAGATTATTTTTTTTTGCTTAACTGAATTTTAGGTTAATCTTGAATGCTTACAGAGATTGGGATTAAATAGTGTTTGTCTAAAGTAAGCTATTGTGGTTTTTGTTAAATCTAAGTCTGGCCATAACTCCTTTTCTGTTCAAATTCTTAAAAGCTTGATCTTCTTTGTAGTTGTTTTTGTTAGCCAGTGCTGACAAAACGCACATGTAGATAGTTTCTATGTCCTTAGCATAACAAGACAAACATATAGAGATGACTGTTCACGATTTTTGCTTTTCCATGATCACGGCTATACCTGATATCAATCAAACTTGCACATACTTCCAGTTTTAACAGGAAGTGTAAAAGTGCATCTCGTTATGTAATCTGTTCTGTAATGTTGATTTGCTAGTAAACTGTACAAAAAAGGCTTCCCCATGGCTTAACATATCTATAATGCAATCCAAAATGATAGAACTGTGACTGAAAGACAAACAGATTAATAGTATAAAAACATTGGGCAACATAAATCTCAGATGCAAAATCAGAATTTTCTTTTATTTTAATCTTTATTTTAAAATTTTTAAAACAACAATTCTTTGTTTGTCTATTGCTCTTAGTCAGTAATATTTCCTGTGAAACATTACTATATTGCACTGTTACCAAGATTTATATCTTCATAAAGATGACAAATGAGAAAATGTCTTTGGTGACCATTTCAAGCTTTGCTGGTTATGACTGGGCACCATTACAACCTTTGTTGTTTAGGACTGGACACCATTACAACCTTTGTTGGTGATGGCTGGTCACCATTACAACTTTTGTTGTTTATGACTGGGCAACCGATTACAACCTTTGTTGGTTATGACTGGGCACAATTAAAACTTTTGTCAATTATGACTGGTCACCATTACAACCTTTGTTGGTAATGACTGGGCACCATTACAACTTTTGTTGGTTATGACTAGGCACCATTACAACCTTTGTTGGTTATGACTAGGCACCATTACAACTTTTGTTGGTTATGACTAGGCACCATTACAACCTTTGTTGGTTATGACTGGGCACCATTATAACCTTTGTTGGTTATGGCTGAGCACCATTACAACCTTTGTTGGTTATGGCTTGGCACCATTACAACCTTTGTTGGTTATGGCTGAGCACCATTACAACCTTTGTTGGTGATGGCTGGTCACCATTACAACCTTTGTTGGTGATGGCTGAGCACCATCACAATCTTTGTTGGTTATGGCTGGTCACCATTATAACCTTTGTTGGTTATGACTGGGCACCATTACAACCTTTGTTGGTGATGGCTGGTCACCATTACAACCTTTGTTGATTATGACTGGGCACCATTACAACCTTTGTTGGTTATGACTGGGCAGCATTACAACCTTTGTTGATTATGACTGGGCACCATTACAACCTTTGTTGGTTATGACTAGGCACCATTACAACCTTTGTTGGTTATGGCTGAGCACCATTTCAACCTTTGTTGGTTATGGCTGGTCACCATTATAACCTTTGTTGGTTATGACTGGGCACCATTATAACCTTTGTTGGTTATGACTAGGCACCATTACAACCTTTGTTGGTTATGGCTGGTCACCATTATAACATTTGTTGGTTATGAATGGGCACCATTACAACCTTTGTTGGTGATGGCTGGTCACCATTACAACCTTTGTTGATTATGACTGGGCACCATTACAACCTTTATTGGTTATGACTGGGCAGCATTACAACCTTTGTTGATTATGACTGGGCACCATTACAACCTTTGTTGATTATGACTGGGCACCATTACAACCTTTGTCAATTATGACTGGGCACCATTACAACCTTTGTTGATTATGACTGGGCACCAATTACAACCTGTGTTGGTTATGGCTTGGCACCATTACAACCTTTGTTGGTAATGACTGGGCACCATTACAACTTGTGTTGGTTATGACTGGGCACCATTACAACCTTTCTTGATTATGACTGGGCACCATTACAACCTTTGTTGGTTATGACTGGGCACCATAACAACCTTTGTTGGTTATGACTGGGCACCATAACAACCTTTGTTGGTTTTGACTGGGCACCATTACAACCTTTGTTGATTATGACTGGGCACCATTACAACCTCCATTACAACCTTTTTTGTTTATGGCTGGGCACCATTACAATCTTTGCTGGTTGACTGGGCACCATTACAACTTTTGTTGATTATGACTGGGCACTATTACAACCTTTGTTGTTTATGGCTGGGCACCATTACAACCTTTGCTGGTTGACTGGGCACCATTACGACCTTTGTTTGTTATGGCTGGTCGCCATTACAATCTTTGTTGGTGATGGCTGGTCACCATTACAACCTTTGTTGGTTATGACTGGGCACCATTACAACTTTTGTTGGTTATGACTGGGCATCATTACAACCTTATTTGATTATGACTGGGCACCATTACAACCTTTTTTGGTTATGACTGGGCACCATTACACCTTTTGTTGGTTATGACTGGGCACCATTACAACCTTTGTTGATTATGACTGGGCACCATTACAACTTTTGTTGGTTATAGCTGGGCACCATTACAACCTTTGTTGTTTATGACTGGGCACCATTACAACCTTTGTTGTTTATGGCTGGGCACCATTACAACCTTTGTTGGTTATGACTGGTCACCATTACATCCTTTGTTGGTTATGGCTTGTCACCATCACAAGCTTTGTTGGTGATGGCTTGTCACCTTTACAACCTTTGTTGGTGATGGCTGGTCACCATTATATAACCTTCGATGAATTGAAACCTTATATCTGAAGAAATTGTACATTTTGCTTTGTAATCTGCTATAATCAGCAAATAGTATATCATTAGAATCCACACTTCAGATTTATTAGATAATTATGAAACATACAGATGGAAAGTTCACTATCAGAGAGTCATTTTGATTGTGTTAATCTGTCTTCAACTTTTCTTCAGAAATTTGTAAATGGAATATATATTCTCCTCCCATTCTCCATTCTTGTCCTAACCTAAAAAGGTTTAAGGTGTAATATTGGTCACTGGATTTATAAAAATCTAAAACTTCAGTCAGTCTATTGATACAAATAAGTTCAAGATGAAGAATATTTTACAATAAAACTTTAAATGTGAGGGAAGCTGGGCACTGAATAGGTGTTTGATTTACTTTCTGTTTGACTGAGCTTAAACAACCATAGCAGGTTATAGGATCAATATCTCCCATTAAAGGTCTTTATCTCAAATTCCTTTCAATACATATTTACTCAGGGACATTATAAATAATATCCTAGGTTATTAGTTTATTTACTGATTTCAAAGTAATCATTATTATACACAATTATGACATATATAAATCAAATAATTGGCCGATCATGTTTTCTGTCCTGTTAGAACAACAATAAACAAGTCTCATAGAGAACTCATTTCCTGTTTTTTTTTTTAAAGAGAATCATAACCTTGATCAATATTGTCAAAAAGTTTAAGAAATAATAACATTTCTATTTGTTGTGTAGAATTTGTACAAGGACTTTTTCCTTGATCAGTTTTTTACAGGTATATAAGACTTATGTTCTGAACAGGTGTAAGGAGATATATGAAAGTTATTTTACTTTGATCCGAGGCATAGCATATCTGATCTGTGTATCAAAATTTGTTAAAGCTCAGATAAGTTTAGAGATGATGTCACACCTGTAATTGTTTTAAATAGTATCAGTTTTCATACCTGTTTCGTTTTTACCTGTCGTGGGATTAATATAGTACATGCACTTTAACTTAATTAATAAATACTGTCCACTTCACTGAGCATGAAATGGAGTGAAAAGGGACATTTTGCTATCATTTCTGGCAGTTGACCGGCTGACTGATTGAATTGTTGGAATAGATTTATATTATATGTACTATCAGTTTTTACCTGTCTAGAGACTTAGTATTTGTCTGTCTGAGGGATTTAACCAGTCGACACTTTTACTTCTCAGGAATGTTTGTGTCATTAATGTGCTAATTATGATTTAATTGGGATGTAATATTTTTTTTCGCTAAACAGTCTGGATGTTTTTCGCTTTGATCTCAGCACCTGAATCTCAGGAGGTAATGTTATTATTATTTCATATTACATAATTAATTTTCTGAATTGGAATAAAAATTTATTTAACTTCTAACAGAGATACATGTAAAGAGATAGTATAATGTGAATTAAATATTTATCTGTTGATTGTTATTTTTTTTTATATTATTTTAGAAAGAATTTTATTAATGTTAGTACTTTTTATCTGTTGACATAGGTTGTTGAATAGGGAAGTGAGCTTCTCCCATTTTTACAGATAGTTCGGTTATTATTTTAATGTATTTGAATGTTATAACTTTAGTCTATAACTTTCATTATTATTTGTTTTCTATGCTAGTAAAAAATTCTAATGATAAAGGAATATTTTCTACCAGTACTCCCACCACAATAAATAAAAAATGAACCTCAAAGCCTCATAAGTAAATGTTTTCAATCTTTAAAAAAAGCTTCTTTTTTTTTCTTGTGTCATTTTGATGTTGCAACATTAGCAAAATCACCACAACTCTACTCTTATAGTGTTCTCCCCTGATATTTCAGTAAGCAAACTGGCATTATGATTTTTTTCAGTAACTTCTTGTCCAAAAAGTTTAATTCTATAGTGAAAATCGAATTTCCAAATAAAACCTAAAGTGTTCATACGTATCAGTTATGTTGAATTGTCCCTAGGAAAAAAAACTGGCCTTTGTTGTTAGTACTGTCTTAGAAAGTGAATTCATGTTATTTCGTATAAATAAGTAGACTTAAGATTGTGTGGTTAAATTTATGTCAACCCTTGCATTTATACATGCTGATCAAAGTGAGATAGCCCAAGAATGTATGCAGGAGATCGATTAACATAAGCTGAATAAAGGCTTTTTCCATATCAATTTTAAATGTATTTGTATATTCCTTAATAAAAATATGTAAACCGAAAAATGTATGCATCACCATGGTTCAAGTTTGTTTGAATGACAGTGTTGGGACATTCTTGGACTGTGTTAAAAATGTTTGCTCTCTGCCAATTTCTTGTGTTTGGTGAAGGATCCATGGAGTATTAACACATAATTTCTACTCTCTCGAGTGTGATCTATTTATGAAAAATGCATGAAAAATTATTTTATTACAATTTTTGTGTCTGTTGAGGAATGTCTTTGTATGTAACTGGTAGTCTATCAAATGATAAAATAAATTCACTGTGTCCTGTCTTTTCACAATGGAGCAATTTTGAAATGTAACTTCAGTCCCAAAAAATTATGTTCTGCAGTCTTAGACTTTCAGTGTTTTCATAAATGAGGTCTTGTCACTTGACGGCTGGAAAGTCCAAAAAAGTGACATACCATTTTTGGATTGGTCAATTCAGAGACATATAATAATAATGTATTATATGTCTCAGGTCAATTGAAAGAGAAAAGTAATATTTGAATGATAAACATGTTCATCTACAACTGTAATAATCACTGCTTAAAGGATAACAGATATCACATTATAGCTTACACTTAAACTTTGAATGAAAACGTTGCAACTGATGATCTGTTGAATTTTGTAAGGTCAAACCAACTAACTGCCAATGATTGTATGTGTTTTTCTAGGGTGCGGGGAAAACAAGTTTCTTCTTCAATGTGCAGAAGGTACAAATGAAATATGAGCAGTCTATGTCACTGACTATGAATTAGTAAATATCATTTCCTGGAAGATGCTCGAACAAGATATCAAGCTTTTAAAAATACATTTGTATTTATTTACAACTGATTTAATCTATTTAAAAAATTGACAAATTGACTGATATTTGATTACAATCTTTCAATAGACAATTATGTCATCCCTACAACTTGTATTAGTTACAGTCTAGAGTCTTGCCTTTCTGTGTTCAAAATTTCTTGTGTTGATTAAGGATTTGATCAAGTCCTGGCATAATAAGGTTTGATAATCGAATAAGGCCCCAAAATTACTTGGACTCTTGACTGTTTATAGTACTTTTTGTGCATTTACTGGTAATCTTTATTGCACCAATATTCTTTTTTCTCATTTTATGCAATCCAACCATGGCATACATGTACCGTGGAAGTAATATAGAATATAGTTCTTGCTAGTGATGCATGTATTAATAAAACATAAAACCTGACAGGTGCTCTCCAATCTTTAGTTTATAAGAACAATTTGTTCCCTATTTCAGTAACTTGTCGTTTGTCCTTAAATGTCAAGTGACAATCTGTTACAAGTAGTGTACCAAGTGCACGTATATTTTCATGTCAACTTTTGTTTCTGCTAATAAAAAAGTAAATGTGGTTCATTTATAAAACATAAAATTACCTATATAATGGTACATGTATCTATAACATTTTAATACATGTATATATGAATAAATAGTGATGTAAATCACATGTCTATCAGACTGCAACCCTATGATAAAAATAACCAAAAAGACATGTAGAGGTCAGGATATAGTCTACAAGATAGACAGGTGTTTTTACAATGTGTCAAGGTCTACATGTATGCATTTTTAGGTAATTTATCTCTGTTGCATGTTATATAAACCTTAAGAATTATCATCAAAGAGTTTAGATTTCATCTGGTTTACATATCTATATCTTTCTTTACTGCTCTCTTATCATTAAGGGTTTGCAGTATATGTATACACCTACTACTAAATCAAGTGCAGAAAGTGATAAACTCCTTACATTCTAATTAGTATTTCAATTTTACTTTTCAGAATCATTGTTTTAGACCACCTAAGTAGTTAGTTTGTTGATTACAGTCCTGAAGCTCATGACTCTTTTCAACCCTTTTTACTTTTTTCATGTTTTTCTCTTGTTTGAAGCATAACACATGTAGGCCTAAACAAGTCCCAATTTAAAAAAAAAGCTACTGGTACATTAAAAACTTTAAAAAATAATTTTGGATGAAACCGAAATATTTTCAGCACATTTGATGTTTAATTTCTTCACAAATTTTTTAGACTGTTAAAGCTTTTTACATTTAGTACAATTTAGACCTTGGTATATTGTTTAGACACTTGTGTAATGACGATGAAGACTTTATGATGACCTTGTGGTGTCTGTTGGTTTGCTGTCTCAATGATATGTACCCCACATATTGTTTTATTCATATATATAAAAGAATTTACAAGCTGTTGAAAGTAATAAAAAAAAATGGTATGGAGTAATTTGGAGAAATGTATTTTTGTGTTTTGTTGGCCACTAATCTCAGTATCTATGAAAAAGGGATGATATCAGAAGAACAGGTAAGGGTACAGACTGCAAGGGAAAATGGCATAGGAGATAAAATAAGAGCAGGACAGGTGGGGGTTTATAAGATAGTAAAAGTAGGAAAGGAAGATTGATTGTTGGCTTCATTATGTCAAGCAGCAGTCTGGCATGCTTAGTCAGACTTTTAATATGCTAACTCACAAGGTAACAGTCTACTGGAAGACATATCAACCTGAACCTAGTCAGACATACTATTCTGACTCTGAATCAACCAGCCTTTGCTCTTCCTAACGTGATTGCTGAAGAAGCAGCAAATCCATTTTGAAAGTTGTTTGGCCCAGCTGGAGATCAAACCATTGACCTCCTGCACTGAACAGACCATTGAGACAGTAAGAAAGATACTATTACAGAAATAGGGATTGGGAATGAAAGAAAGGTAGGGAAGTAGGAAGTTGCAAGATATCAAAAAGAAATGAGTGAAAATTAAGAAAAAAGGGATAAATTACAATTGGGAGAAAGGGATGGAGCAGGAAAGAGAAGTGATTATAAGGAGCGTAAAAGGACTAGAGTAAAATAATAATAATAAGGGATTGCAAGTGGATAAGAGGGTGACTACTGCTTAATGATGACAAGCATGAAAGAGTGGACATTGCGAAAGATATATTTGTAATCTCTTTAAAAAGAATGAGAAATAAGGAGAAATGTATAAAGGAGAGAAAAACAGATTAGAGAAGAACAAAATAAATGAAAATATTAAGTATATACCAGTAGGCTAACTGATACTCTCTTTAAAATTAAATATTTCCTATTTATACTGTGCTATAAACAGTTTAATCAATGTTAAAATAGTCTAGATAAGGTATGTATGAATGGGAAGTATTTTGATCCATAGAATCAATATTTCTTGGGTAGATTTCCTGTTCTTTCTATTGACTGTGTTCAGTCTATATTTATGGGCTTCAGGCATCTAGTAGGACTAGATATATTTAATGAAAAAGTTTACCGATTTTTGTTTTCTATATTCGTTATTTTTATCAAATAAAATGTGGGTGCTGCAAAGGGACATTCCATGAAGGACCTCTGCAGAGGCTACCTGGTCCTATAGTCTTGTTTATTAAATTCAGGTTTCATTGTCTTCATTAAAACCTTGATACTAATTTTAATGCAACAAGATGCTGGTGCTGTCTCTGAGGGCGCTGTAAATAAATCCAAGTGAACTGATGGGAGTTGTATTACACATTGTCAGATCAAGATCAACCTTGTCATATTTTATATTTACATTCCTTTTGAACCTCTTGATTATACAGAAAAAGAAAAAAAATATGAGATTTTGAATGAATAACTTTTATAGTAAGGTTAAACTAAATCTTATAAAATTTTACCTTAATGAGGAACTACAACTGTACTTAAAAAGAGTTTAAGTTATATGAAGCCATGTTGCTATACTGTGGTTTTTATTTTCATTTTGCCAACTTATTAATGACTGTAGATGTACTGAAATTAATAATCTGTTTAGAGAACATGTATGAGTTATTTTCTTAGCATGTATTTCATGTATAGAAAGATAGAAAGTACACAAAATAGAAATAATTTCATCCAATCCTAAAAAACATAATACAGGCTTCAGGTTTTATTCAAATACCATACAAAATCCAAATGGAGAAAGGATTCTTCTAATTTTGTAAATGGTCAAAGGACAACGGTTAAGCAGAGGTCAAGGGCCCAAATCAAAGATGTAAACTCCACTGTTTATTTAAATTATGCTTAATTTCAATTAATTTTAAGGTTATAGGTCCTACCCAGCATAATGCACACTTAAAATGCGTTTCTATGTATGT